TTTTTTACTATAAACTAATACAGTTATATGATAATGTGTTATTATATTAATGAGAAATAATTTAATATTGAAAGAAGTCTTCAAATGTGTAATTATAATTTCAAGAAATCAATCATTTTATTAAAAATCAACTTTTGTTTGTTTAATAAACCGTAACATATTGCTATTTACTTCTAATTTTCGTGAATTATTCGAATTTATAAACCTTTGTTTGTTATTGTAACATTTGTATTACCTAAAGATTTTTACACATGTAAGAATATACCTAATTATTTATATACATAAAAATGTGCCTGTTAATAGGATATTACACTATGAAATTGTATTTTATTATTGATCAATTATCTATTTATCGATATTAAAGTACATAAACGAATCGATGGAGAATGTTCAACTCTGTCAGAGTCATCAACACATTTATTTTTATAACAAATAGATTAATTTCAATTTTGAAGAAATCTAAGTACTTTTTTTAACTGTACAAGCACTATGTGGAATTGCATCTAAAATTTGATCAATCTTGAGCAATGTATTCATGTTACTTATACTATTTTAAATTGTAACATGGTTTTACAAACTGTCTTTGGTGTACGCATAGTCTCAGACTAGAAAGTAGTAACATTACAAGGCCTGGAATGTAAAATTCTATTTAGAAGCACATAATTTAATGAATTCAATAAATGTATATATTATATTGTTAATAGTTTAAACACTTTCATTTCTCCATTAGAGTAATCGTAAAAATTTAACCAAAGTAAATAGCACATGCGACACAAAGGCAAAACCGATTTTACTAATTACAGGTAATTTTAAGCACATGTAAAGGAATATTAAAAATTCACGTGAAGATCAGCAAAAATAGAGACATTTGTTGCATCGCATAATGATTATGTTGCATCTGTGAGGTATAGATATAAGGATTAGCATTAAATTATAAGGACAGTGGATAAATTATGACATGTTATTAAGAAAACTCTATTTTGTAGACAGAAAATATTACATTAAGAAACTATAATGATACTATTTTATTGTCATGAATTTGAAAAATCATTGAAATGATGAATTTCATTAAACTACTGAAGAAATGTACAAAATAGGTAGCATTATTCATAGTCCAATTGGCAGTTATACATACAATCATAATAAACAGTGGCTTTGTTAAAACTTAATCTAAGTTACATATAATACTACTATAATCACTGCAGTTCCAAGCTGACACTAAGTTGAATTTGAATAAAAATTCATCTGTAATTCTTTCTTAGATGTTTAATGTATAATATTTAAATGAAACGTCCTCCACGTATATTTATTTAAAGATAATAATGATCAGAAATAGTACCATGATACTATGGATATTTACGTTTTTGAAATTTATTATTATGTTTAAAAGAACTAGTAAAACTGGCAGTTATGATGACAGGAAAACTTGTAAAGAGATATATGCAAAAATAGACTGTGTTTACTTGAAAGCTATCAAATAAGCTCAAATAAGGTAGATATCAGTTTAAGGTCTATATATGAAAATAATATGATTCCTAATCGTGATTATATTAGCCTTTATTCCATAAAAAAAAGGAAACATTTCCGTACTTCATGCATACAACCGTACAGCAACACTATTTAAATAACTAATTCATTGAATTGAAAATTGTTATCACAATGATCATTTTATGTGACACGGTAACATAACGAAGAAACATTTTTCGCAATATATGAAATGAACAATGTGCGTTATTGAAGTATAGCATTTGTAAAATATTATCTATATAGTATCCAAATTATTATATTCATGGGAATAAGTTAATTTGCAAGAAGTATTATATTATTAATGCTTTGCCTAATTTAAGTGTTGTTTTTAAAACTTTATTCATATTTTTCTTAATAAATAGACTATAGGAAATAAGTATGTATATCTTTTGATTAATGAACAATTTTAAAATATACACAACTTCTATTCCAAACTTATACATTTGGCATTTACATGAAGAAGATATATAAAACAACGAAAATCGATTTAAAAAATTCATTGTATATGTAAATACTAAACAGAAATCATTTTTCATAAAATTAGTTCAAACAAATTTTTCTTTGTCAAATTTGAAAATCAATGATATTTCATTTCAATGTATATGGTTGTTGAAGTACATTATTACTGAAATATGTTACATATTGTATACTACAATTGTGAACTATTTTCAGAAGGTTATGCAAAACATACGCTTGGATGAATAAAATTAAATAAACTTTCATATGATTACACAATTATTCTTGCATTACTTCAATCTTCAATATATTGAGATAGTCAATCTTAACTATAACCAGATTTTCATTTCTGTGCTATGTTACTTAATGTCACATATTTGTTCAAGCTGAAGTCTCTTTAATTTTTGTATGAAATATATTATGGGCAGTGACTATAGCTTCTTTGTAAAAAGGTTGTTCAGTATGCAAACAATAAATTGTGAGAAATTATAAAAAATTCAAATAAGCTCAATGTACGAATATTATTTTGTATGGCACAAGGTACAGATTAATCTTTGTTGTATAGCGTTCCATCTCTTCATGTACACGTATATACTTTTGTGATACGAAAAGGAATCATAAATAGCGTTTATTTAATAGTAACAATTCTAAACTACACCTTTCGTTCAGTAATTTTTAAGAAATATACAACTAATAGCATATTAATGTAGATGTTTAATTCATTTACCAATATGTTGTATATAAATTCATATTATTGTATTTAATTAATTAAAAAATAATCAAACAATGATTCTTTTTTACCGTTTATATAAAATTTTATGTCATATGTACTGATAATTTTTATTAGCAAAAGGAACTTAAAAATAATTCTGTCAGTCAAGTTTCATATATCTAAAACATACTAAGTAGACTTCAATCATTGAATGCTTCGGTAATGTCAACAAGAGCAAAATGAAAAATAAAATATTGTCTCTGAAACTATAATATAAAATAATATTGGAGATGACATGATTCAAATGCACTTATCGTCATGAGGATACTGCAAGTGACAAATAAATAAAAGCTTACACATAGATGATTAATATAGGAAACAATAAGTAATATGATACTTTATTCTATTGTATTTTCTAAACTTCTGTTGTAACCTTCAGAAAACAGAATGACAAACAGTTTTATCAAAAAATTACAACTCATTTCAAGAAGTTCTTTTTCTTTCAACAACAAAAACGAGAGATTAAAGAAATAAATTATTCTACTCTAAAAATTTGTTTTTATATGAAAATACAACTATAAATAAAAAAACCAAATCTCAGGACACTATTATCAGGCCTGTGTAAATTTAAAGTAATTAATAGCTGAATTTAATATCAATTTTATATATCTTCTATTGTATTTTGTAAAAACAGCCTGCAATTTTCTAAACAAAAACATTTAATAATACAAGCAAATATATATATTGTTAAGTAAACAGATTATTAAATTTTAAATTATTTGCATTGCTTCCAAGAGAATGATCCTTCCATATTCATAATGTAACTTAAAGTAATAATTGTGAAATATTTTCATATTCACTGAAACGTGTCATTGTAGTACAAAAGCTAATAATTATAATGAACAAAATTTTCAGCTTCCTAGATGCCACTTTGATCACTTTGCTTCAAATTTTGAACATCCATCTTTGGCACAGTACGTTAATTAAGCAAAAATAGATTACATCTATGAGTAGAAAGAAGTAGCACAAAAGACAGCAAGAATATACACGCTTTTGATTACCGCCACAATACTTCGGTACATAATCGTATCGATTATATATAATGAGAACCATTAGAAGCGTGTACTCTTTCTTTACCTAAATTATAGAGGAGTATACTTACAAACAAGTCCTTCCTAGAACTGTTTTAATTGCTTAAATGTACTAAGCTTTGTCACAGAAAAAAAAAATGAGAAAAAAACAGTTGAAACAAATATTTGAAAATTGTTCACTAAACAAAACGATTATGTATATAACATTGTGTGTAACATATTTAATATTTATATGTACATAGACACATGTATCCATAAATAAATGTACCTATGTGCATATATGTACCATTAATGAAAGTATATTACGATGATATTGTTTCGACAATGGTATTCAGTTTGATTCGATATTAATGAAACCATAATTAAATCACGCATGCGTGGTTATTTGTTTCTGGCACTCACACATTGTCTTTTCACTAAGAGAAAACGAATGCTTCACTTCACTCTTTATGATAACACTTTTGTACACAGAGAAGTGCGTATCTATTTTTCAAAGAACAAGATATAACAGTTCCACATTTAACAGAAGAGCAGCAAAAGAAACAGATCAGTCCCAACTGGCGTCGCTGTCAGCCTCTTCAACTTCCTCTTCCTCATCCGAAAACCATACCGAAAAATCTGGGTCATGTAGGAACTCGTCGTGATTTCTTTTATTTACACCCATTCTACGCTTTTTTGTTGGCAATGCAAGCTCATCTTCTGCTGTTCTTTCTTTACGAAACTCATAGACTAGTGGATAGATGTATTCAATTGCTGCTTGAACAGCAGCAACATTAGGAGCTGTAATATTTGTTACAGTTTATTCAGTAAAATAGAAGAATCAAATGTAGGGATAAATAACTTAACACTTTTTACTTTTTAAATGTGATAAATATATATTTGATAAATGATTGGTTAATTTGTAATTTATGGTAAATAAATAAAAATACGAACCAGTTACTGTAACACTGCCCGTCGAAAATATCTTCAGAGTGGCTTTTGGTTCCGTCAGTTTGTATGTAACACCAGGATGTAATTCTGGCTCGTAACTGTATATAATGAATATTATTGATAAATATTTATAAAAATAAATACAAAATATAAGTAACTATAAATGATAACCACTATTTTATAATATTGAAATATGAATTAAGTACACTTACTCTGCATTTTCCTTGTGATATAATGAAAATGATGTAATCTTAATTGCAAATGGCATACAACATGTACCTAACACATTAACCACCCTGTAATTGTTAAATCGCACTTTGAATCCAAGTTTCTGTAGTGAACGAGCAAATCTTCTTGCTGCTATTTTTGCTTGAACTTCACTGGTTGCACCAGTACATGTTACTTTACCAGAAGACCATATAGAAGCAGTAGTATAAGGTCTTCTTAATTTCATTGTTATCATCTATAACAGTGCACACATATACAAAGAATAACTACTACTGAATGTTATATAAGCAAACATAAATTACATTTAAATCATTTTAACAAAAATTATAAATTATATTCTTCTCATTCTTAGTTATTCTCAGATTTAAAATATCTAATTAAAAATCGTCATCATCATTCAATGCGGTAAACGTAATATATTTAAATGGCTATGAAACATTAAACAGTTTTATGATTCAATAATGAAAACAAACTCGAGGGCAACTGATTTTATTCATTTAAAAAGAATCACAATTTCTTATTATTAATTATAAAAAATGAAGAATGGTATACAAAAAGTATAAGTTACTTTTAACTTTGTTTATGATCTGTAACGAAATGTTTTTTTTAATCGCTTTATTACGCATCACTTCTCATAAAAAACTTGAAATATAAATTGTGAATACATGAAACTTATATTAATAGAATACATATATATATATACATATATATATGTGAATAATATATGTTCAATTCCATTACATTATTAAACGTATTACAGTAATTCTTTGTTACACAGAAACAAAATTTCTTTGAAACATACCCCATTCTCCCTCCTATATTCCACGTTAGATCCATTAAGCGCAATTTCTCGTAAATTTAAATGACACCTAACACTGAAACTGCAGACTACATTATTAATAACAATATCCAGTTCGCGAGGTTCTTGTTCAGGAGGATCCATGTAAGGTTGAATTTGTCCGTCAAACAGTCTTTCATCTTTTTCTTCTTTACATATGTCTGTATTATCTAAATTATTTACACCTTCTACATGATTTATTGTGTTTGTTAAAGGTTTCATGCCATTCTTTTGAATAGCAGTTGCCATAATATATACCTGAAAACATAAAGGTGCTGCTTCTATCATTTTCATATAGTAAAAACTCAATTGGTTCATATTTATCTATTAAATATAAAATATAATATTTTGTCTTATTACTTCTTACATAAGAACTTCTTAATACTTGTATTCTTGTTCTTGTTTGACTTAACTTTAATTTTAAAATAAACATTATTTCTCTATTAGTAATAATTATTACTTCATATATTACACAAAAATTAGTCACCTTCCATATATACAATACCAATAAATCTATTGCTAATGTTCCTATTCCAAGCAATCTTAACAATGTAGTTCATTATTA